CATCTCCCATCTAAACTTCGACCTCGCTTCTGCGGGCCTTTTCTCGTTGAAGCACAGGTCACTCCTGTTACCTTCCGCTTACGCCTGCCAGCTACCTGGAAGATTCACAACGCCTTCCATGTCCAACTTCTGAAGCCCTATCGGGATCCTAACACGATCTTCGTGGGACGCCAGCCGCCGCCGCCGCCGCCCGTCCTCGTCCAGAACGAACCCGAGTACGAGGTCGAGTCCGTGCTTGCACATCGTCGTCGTCGGAATGGCGCCGTGGAGCTTCTCATCCGTTGGAAGGGTTATGATCCTTCTGAGGACAGCTGGGTCTCTGAAACCGACATGGGTAACGCCCGTCGTCCTCTGCATGACTACCTTGTCAAGCAGGGTGTTACTTCTATCACCCAGCTTTGAGGGGGGGAAGTGTGAGAGTACGACCCCGTTACACCACTTGTCCTATTCTTATCTCCTTCCTCTTTCATTCTCCTTTTTACCGCATCTCATTTGGTTTCCTATTCTCCATTTTCCATTATCCTTTGGTCTCTTCCTTTATTATAATTATATCACCGATCAGGCATGGAATGTTCTAGACACGCTATCTAGCGTAATCCTGCTGTAATCCCTTAAAGCCAATAGCCTCGCGTGGCTATACGCAGGGTGATTCTATCTTCTAGAAGGGTCTATTCCCTTAGGATAAGATAAACCTGGTTACCTGATGTACTCTGGAAGTATAAAAGCGCCTTGTACTGATCGATAGTGCAACCTTTCCTCGACACATTCGATCCTGTGACACATGGGGTGTGTTGAGCCGTCGCCCTGTCGCATACAGCCGACATGCGCCCGTCGTATTTCTGCGTTAACCATGTCAAACCTTTCGGCTGCCGATATGACGTCACTGTAGCTCGAGTAAATTGTCGCTGCCACCTGTCGTTTGACTTCGGTCTTCAGCCCGGCGAAGTACGATTGCACTTGTTCCCCTTCGGACACGTCGGGAGTGCGGTTATAAAATTATTCCATCTACTGCATGTACCGTGTTACACTCCCGAGCTATCGATGGCGATGAAGGTTTTCCCGGCCAAGGAAACTCAAATTTATCGCCTCGAAACGTTTCAGCAGGTTGGTGCGGAACTGCTGCCACGTGGCTTCACCGTGGATGAATGCACTGTTGCCGCTGATCCACTCGAGTGCCGGCACTCGCATCAGTGTCGCCGCGAGTCGCACGCGCTGACCATCCCAAACCGGCGAGCTCCATCCGACGGCTGCGAAGTAGACCTCCATGCTTGCGATCCATCTGCGGACGTCAAAATTCCGATCGCTCGGATCGAACGGCTCGGGTGGGCGCAGCTTCGGAGCCTCGAGAAACTGTTGCGACTGCAGTGTCGTCGTCGTTGTCATTTCGTGCTGCGCGCCTGAGAGTTGAGTTACTCGCTCGAACTCAATGCGCCAAGCTTCGCGGTCGGCTCGCATCTCCTCTTGTAGGGCGGCGATGCGGGCGAAGAGCTGCTGGGTAATCTCGATGTTGTCGAAGTTCGCCATCATGTTTAAAACACGATTGGAGGGGTTAATTAAAAAAATGTGAAACTGGTGTTTACCTGAATCGACGCCGAATTAGTCGCCCCCCACGGTTTTTCAAGGCCGGTTTTCCCGTTGCTGCTGCTTAGCTAAGCATGGCCAAGTGAGGAAAGCTTTGATACCAAGTGTTACATGATCGAATTGATCGAAAGAAAGTCGCGCTATCGATCGATACAAGGAGTCTTTGTACTTCCAAGGTACATCAGGTAACTAAGTTTATCATATACAAAGGGAATAGACCCTTCTAAAAATAGAATCACCCTGCGTATAGCCACGCGAGGCGATTGGCTTTAAGGGATTACGACAGGATTACACTAGATATAGCGCTCCAGTACATTACGAGCGTGGTCGGTGATATAATTATAATAGGATGAACCGAAGGATTATGGAAAACGAGGAATAGGAAACCAAATGAGATGAGATAAAGAGCAAATGGATCAGGATAAAAAAGAAAACAAGATAGAAAGAAATATAGAAATAAGGAAGATGTATAACGAGGTCGTGCTCTCACACATTTCAGCACTGGTAAGTTGTCTCATATTCTTATCTACGTAAGTTGCATAGAATCATACGGTGAGTAGCATATCTAGTTGACTAAGACTTCCTTGTTACAGTAATTCTTGAGAGAAAATGCTTATGATTGAATTAATAGGTATGAAAATAATGTATGGTGTTTGTAACGAGGCGCAAACAACGAGTGTCGAATATTGGTAGTAGCGGGGAACACCAAACCGACAAAATAGTGAGGCAGTAATACAGTGAGGCAACATTGAAACAACTGAGAGCTTGAATATAGCTAGGTCTTCTGCACACAGTCGAGGCTCGACAGAGCTGAGACTTATGGAAATAGATTTGCACGGAGCGCCCAAGTTCAGACGTGAAACTGCAAAACGAACGACATGTGTGTGCCTTATCAGAGTGCCACATTTGGGTACCACGATTTGAGTTTCGTGGCAGCGCTGCGCGATAACCCCGTTATGGAAGTGTACACCTTATTAGCCAAATTCCCGGATTAAGAAAAACCATTTCCTTACACTCTCTTTCCTCCTAGATATAATCTTAGTAAAGACCGCCAACATTGTGCACCTTTAGGGACTAAAGGTAGACGCATAACACCGGGTAATTTTCGATTGGCGCTCGAAGGCTCTTCGCCAAGACTATTATTCGAGAAAATACCAATATGCAATGCAACTGCAAGTTGCATGCAACTTATAGGCTTCCTCGGGAATGCGCATGATATGTGAGACTTCGTCAACTCTTAGCTACACAATAGACTAGCAAACGGAGAAAAAAACCTCTACCATATTGTCTGGGACGCGGAGAACCCACTCCTCGAATTTTGCCTAACCCCTCTGCATGCCCAAACAGGCCAACGCTTCATGTATTTGCAGCAAGTGTCCAACTACGCACAGCCAGTCACCTGCATGTGCATAGACACTGTGTTTGGGGACTTCAAGGGGCGATTCCGTCTCATGGGCGGACGTAGCGAGTGCCGCGTATGGCGGGTCCTTGCCGCCACTATTTGCACTGTCGTCATGCATGGTGGCAGAAATGGCAGAGGTAAGGCGGCTGGCTTTCAACACACGTCATAACTCTGCCCTGGCCAACTAAGCTCCTTGGTGGATGGGCGCTGAACTCATGGACATGCAGTGGAACCAAGAGGGGGGAAATATGGCAGCGACTTTGTAAGAGCGCCAAACTGCTGCATCCACTAGGCAAACAGGTCCTCGATGCACCGTATGCCATCCGCATGGTAGTCCTTGAGGGTCGACGAGAGGAGTGTAGCACGCGCCATGGTGGCGGTCTCATTAGATGGTGCCTTGCTGTTGCAAGGTGGGTCGGGTTGTTTTCACCTGATAGCGGGGTTTAGGAAGAGGGGGAAATGGGGTTATGCGTACGTGCATCGTTGTGTGTTGGTTTTTGTTGTGCTTGTTATCCTACCATCGTGTCGAAGTGAGGATCTTCAACTCTAAGAAGGACCAAGGCGATTTTGGGCAGACACCCGCATCGTCGACGACATCGCGCTGGGACTCGTTGACGCGATTGGGCAGAGTCGGATGATAGAAGTGCTTGTTTGGCGGCAGCGTCGCCTCAGGTTTTGTGTCGTCCTCTAGCGTCACGTAGTTTTCGTCGTACTCGTTGTCGTTCACCTCGTCCGCACTGTTATTCATGTTGCACGCGTCGTCGGCTGCGTGCGCTGGCGCTCGCGCCTGTTCAGCGAGGGCGACTCGTTTCTTTGGTGCAGCAGCATGGAGGTTGTGCCCCAACAACCCCTCCTCTATGGCGGTCAGGGTCAAGGCACACTGATGGCTCAAGAGATGTGAAGGGAGCGTTCCGGACGCCTCCATTGCTGCCATTTTCCCAGTATACGGGATTTCAAGCGGGCCATCGGAGCAGTCACACTGTGCGAGGCTCGGGCACTTATTTCGTATGTCTGCTGTTGGATTGTTGTGATGCTAGGACTATGATTCCCAAACTGCTTCTAATAATGGTGTGCTCATATTTGCTTCATCGGTATGTAGTTGCCCGGCAGCAATCTTTTGATACTCCTTGGAACAGGGGCATATTCGAAGCAAATGGGTTGGTTGAGGCGCTTTGCGTGCAGGTTGGGCACTCCGAGCCATCTTGACCACACGTTCACTGGTTCGGGGTGACGTATGCGTTGTGGTTCTGCCCGTTGCAGCCTATTTCGATGACACGTATTCCAAGGTTCATCGACCGCATGCTTGTTTTTATCCACCCACGTGCAACGCGAGTTGTGACCATCGGCGAATGTGACCGTGGGTAGGACAACTCAGACTCTACTGCGCGACGGTGCTGCGCGACTGCCTCTTGTTGATGCTCGCCGTTCGTTTACACAAAAAGGCATCAACATTAGCAAACATCATTATAGTGCTGATGCCACTTTTTAGGGTTTTGGCATAACTCTAACAAGGCCATCAACCAATCACAACACTTCTGCTGCTAACACAGTATAATCGTTCAATCCTGAGGATCATACTCATCTTTCGCATTGTCAGAAGGCTGTCCTCTCTTTTGCACGAGCATAGCATCTCCTCATCTGCTTCTAAATGACAAAATGCTTCTTGCGACAGTTGCAGTTAAGCTGATATATGAAGTGCAGTCTGGAGTAACTTTACCGTGCAGGAATCAGATGCGCAGAAGGACTGGCAGGCTTCCGTTCCATTCCCTTCTTTCAATTCTCTCAATTCAATTGAAATACCGTAAGCATGCAGTATCTCTCTGATTTGTTCACCCCTGTACAAAAACGGGTCTACTCCAAAAAATCCATTTTCATCATTTTCAACTGCTGAGTCAGCGTCGCCATTTCGCTTGAATAGGGTTTCCCTTCCCTCACGGAATGCAGAAGAATCTTTGTTGCTTGCTGCTACTGCACAAGCAGCAGCAAACAGCACTAATAGCGGCAGTCTGCTTTCGGGGCAGTGGCTTTCCTGAGCTTGCACGACAAGCCTCCCCCCCCTCCCCGCAATGTACCGTTACCACACGCGAGGCTATTCGCATGCTTCGCTGCGCAGTACAGTACGTTCCATCCACACACACGCGCGCGCATCCAGTAGCACTAGGCGCTCTTCCCCTGCAACATGAGCTGACAGCCTTCTCGTAGTCTCGTAGTCCCGCCGCACGTGCACCTTTCCTGCAAGTCGTAGTCGCGCTCGTGGCGAGATTTACACCCCAAATAAAGTAAATCGCCGGCGCTCCTCCTACTTCCGGGCCGAATTCTTGCACCCGCATTGCTTTCTTGAATCCGCGAGGAGAGACATTCTTGGACCCGCTTCTGTTGCATTTTTTAACCCTGTAGACCGATTTTGAACCCTGCACACCGATTCTGAACCCTGTTGGCCGATTTTGAACCCTGTAGACCGATTCTGAACTCTGTAGACCGATTTTTGAACCCGTGCCAGCTTCGCTGCGACAGTCTTCCGAGAAAGGGTCGGTCGAAGCGGAGGAGATACAGCATTACGACATTGAACACACCTACTATCTACTTTCGTAGATTATGATGTGGAATTCGTGCAGAAAGCCCATGCAGGGAAGGCGCAGGCTTCTCAGCCTATTACTCTCCGTGGTTCTGCTTACACCGAATCTGTTTCTATCGGGTCTGCTCCTATTGAGCCCCTTGCGCGCTGTGGAGGCGACCGTCACCATAAAACAGACTCAAGGTCCGCATGTCTGAGTCATCTGCGTTAGGGTTAACTACTTAGGGGTGCTGTTGTTAGGGGTGCTAGTGCTGTTGTTAGGGGTGCTGGCGTTGCTGTTGTAAGGGGTGCTGTTGTTAGGGGTGCGCTATGTTGCTGAGGGTGCTAGTGCTGTTGTTAGGGGTTCTGTTGTTAGGGGTGCTGTGTAAGGGGCGCCATTTCTGAGTCGGCTCAAGACGAGGCCAACGTCACCCAAAAGCAGGTTCGAGGTCCGCATCTCCAATGATATAGGGCAATGTAATTGGGGTGCTGTTGTTACTGGTGCTGTTGTTAGGGGGTGCTTTTGTTAGGGTCCGCCGTCAGTAGGGGTGATCCTTGGGTCCTTGAGTACAGCCGTGGCTGGCATAAAGGCCTGTCCTGGGTGGTATTACCTTAACCATTTCCGCTGTCCGCTAATCCCCACCCCCATCCCCCTCGCCCTGCTGGGTCCACTCGTTTCTTGAGTACGGTCGTGCCGCTGCTGGCAGTAAAGCCTGCCCTGGGTATCACCTTCACCAAGTGGTCCGGATTTACCAATCCCAAGTGATCCGCTGCTTCACCCGCACCAGCTGAAATCGTTCCCCTCCCGACTTCCCCCCCCATGCTCATCCCTTCACTCTTCCTGCCAACAGTCGCGGCGCTGCTGGCAGTAAAGCCTGTCCTAGGTATCACCTATACCAAGTGGTCCCTCTCCTTTTCCCCCAATGCCACCAGTTCCCCCGGCTCCCCTGTAGCAACTGAAGTTTCTCCTACCTCAACCCTCTTCCCCCCCACCACATCTCCTCCCTTTTCTTGACTGCAGTCAGGGCGCTGCTGGCAGTAAAGCCTGTCCTGGGTATCACCTTCACCAAGTGGTCCGGTTCCACCAACCCCAACTGCAGCACCGGCTCCCCTTTACCAGGCGACTGGGACGCGCTCACCTGCAGCGCCACGGGGGATGTTTTGAGAATGTAAGTTGCTGGGTTGGTAGTTTTTGAATAAGAAGTCGCTTTGCTGCAGGGAGTCTTTTGCGGACTTGGAGGGGAATCTTGTGCCATCCCTACTGCAGCACCGGCTCCCCTGTAGCAGGCGACTGGGATGTGCTCACGTGCTCTGCCATGGGGGACGTCGTGAGAATGTACGTGTTGTGCAAGCAGGTGGGTTGTGCAAGCAGTTTCCTGTCTTCTTTTGTCTTCTCCATCCGTCTGTGAATTCTACGTTCGGTCAGCAATCCCCCGCTTGCCTGCCCCTCTGTTTCCTCCGTGCAGGCACCTCAGGGATCAGCAGCTCAGGGGGTCCTTTCCTTCAGCAGTTTCCTTCAACAGTTTCCTCTCTTCTCTTCTCTCCTCCATCCGTCTGCGAATTCTACGTTCTGTCAGCAATCCCCCGCTTGCCTTCCCCTCTGTATGCGCCTTGCAGGAACCTCAGGTAACAGCAGCTCAGGGGCTCCTTTGCGTCGGAAGTTCCTTGTCCTCTCTTCTCCTATCCTCTCCTCTCCTCTCCTCTCCTCTTCTCTCCTCTCCTCTCCTCTCCTCTCCATCTATTTGCAATTTCTTTCACGTGTCAGCAATCCCCCGCTTGCCTTCCCCTCTGTTTTCGCCTCGCAGGAACCTAAGGTATCAGTTGCTCAGGGGCTCCTTTCCCTCTGCAATATCTTCCCTCTTCGCGCTCACTCAATTGTAAGCGCCTTCTGCTGTCTGCCATTGTAAGGTCAAGCCCTTCGGTGCTGCCTAGTGTGATCTGCCCCTGATGACGGTCCTTGTCAAGTCTTACAGACCTTCAATGCAATGGCTGTGGTTGCACTTGCCCTTGTTTGTGCATCTGCCCTTGTTTGTGCATCTGCCCTTGTTTGTGCATCTGCCCTTGTTAGTGCATCTGCCCTTGTTAGTGCATCTGCCCTTGTTAGTGCATCTGCCCTTGTTAGTGCATCTGCCCTTGTTAGTGCATCTGCCCTTGTTAGTGCATCTGCCCTTGTTAGTGCATTTGCCCTTGTTAGTGCATCTGCCCTTGTTTGTGCATCTGCCCTTGTTTGTGCATCTGCCCTTGTTAGTGCATCTGCCCTTGTTTGTGCATCTGCCCTTGTTTGTGCATCTGCCGTTGTTTGTGCATCTGCCCTTGTTTGTGCATCTGCCCTTGTTAGTGCATCTGCCCTTGTTTGTGCATCTGCCCTTGTTAGTGCATCTGCCCTTGTTAGTGCATCTGCCCTTGTTTGTGCATCTGCCCTTGTTTGTGCATCTGCCCTTGTTTGTGCATCTGCACTTGTTTGTGCACCTTTCTTTCTTGTGCTTGCATCTGGCCGGGTTGCGCACAGATTTCAAGTACAGCCCTTTGAACCATCGGCTAGATTGGTGTCAGCAGTTCTTGGGCGTAGTCACCCTTGTTCGATGGAAATCTGAGCTCTTTCCAGCCTCTGCCGCTTGCTGCTCTTTCTTGGTGTTCTGCTCTTGTTTTGCAGGGACCTCAGGTACAACTATTTGAACCATCAGTTTGATTCGTTTGCCACCTACATCAAGCACCTTGTTTCGATCAAGGACATGTAAGCACGCGTGTGTCCTGGTATAGTTCGGTTCTGTCAACGAGGCCATCGAAGCTCACATCATGGTAGGTAGGCTTGAGCATACTACCCGCCCGGGTCGGGTACCCGGATCCGAGACCATGAGTGACGACGAGGCCATCAAAGCTCACATCATGGTCGGTATCGTCATGTGAGCAAGTTCGTTTTGAGTCGACTTGCAAGAAACCTAAAGAATTTCGTTTCGATCAAGTAAAGGACATGAGACGGGAGAGCGGGCATTGATAGTAAGGAAGTATTGTCATGCGAGCATGGATCTTCATGCGAGGAATTATGGTCATCATGCGAGCATGGATCTTCATGCGAGCATGGATCTTCATGCGAGCATGGATCTTCATGCGAGGAATTATGGTCATCATGCGAGCAAGTATTATTGTGCTAGGAATCATCGTCACGTGAGCAAGCATCACTATGTGAGGCATTATCATCATGTGAGCAAGTATCACTATGCGAGGGATTATCGCTATGTGAGCAAGTATAACCATGCTTGAGACATCCTTGGAAGGATGATACATATGCAACAAATAGCCTGTAGCACAGTGTGACAGTCAGGCTGTCCGTAGCATTATGCAGGCAGGTAGCAAGGCAGCGTAAAAGGAACAGATATGATAACTCGAAAATAGTGGAATGTGCGCATACAACATAATGTGAGTATGCAATATAATTGTGTAGTGTGGGTATGCCGCGTATGTTGTGCAACGTTGCACGCATATAATGTATTGTGGGAACGTATCATAATAGCCGCATCTAGTAGACAAGAATAGTGAAAGCCATAGCAGCACTCTAAGACAGCAAAGTGTTTCAGTTTTGAGAGGTGGCTTTGGATTTGCAAGTATCATTATGTTATGCGATATGGCCGGTCCAAGGTGCAAAAAAACGGTTTCCGTATTAAACGGTCCGTTTTTTACGGTCGTTTTATACGGCAGATTTATGCAAATTCTACCGTTTTTTTGTTAGAGTTTTTTTTTTTTTTTTTTTTTTTTCACCCCTAGCTTTAAAAAACTGCTGGGAAACAGAGCGGCGACAGCCTACGTGCGTCTAAAACACCATCCTCGTCCTCCTAGACCTGCTTTCATTGTCCTTCTCGCCCTTCCTTCACCCTCCTAGTTGTCCTCCTCCTAGTCCTCCGACTCTACTCCGGCTCTGCTCCTCCTCCTAATTGTCCTCCTCCTCCTTGCCCTAGTTCTCCCCTTCCGTGCTCTAGTCGCCCTCCTCCTCACCCTCCTCACCCTCCTCGATATAAAGCGAACTTCCGTTTTTTACGGCGGTATGAAAAAAACGACCGTATAAAACGGCCGTTTTTTTGCACCAGTCAGAAAACACCACTTTTGACCGTTTTAATCGTATTAAACGGCCGTTTTATACAATCCCGTTTCATACGGTAAAAAAAAAGTAAAAAACGCCGTTTTTTTGCACCTTGGGCCGGTCATAGTGAGCTAACTTCCTGCTTGCTTCTCGCTATCCCTCCTGTGTCTGACAGAGAACTAGGCATCAACTACCTGTATGGCAGTTGTCATTTGAGTCGACTCAAAAGCTGACTTGCGTTTCGCCATCCCATGCTTCTTTCTATCCCTCTTGTGCCTGACTGACAGAGAACTAGGTCCCCCCAGCTACCTGTAACGAGGTGACTTTTGAGTCGACTCAAAAGTCACCTCCTGACAGAGAACTAGGCCCCCCCAGCTACCTGTATGGCACTTGGCTATTGAGTCAACTCAAAAGTAGACTTACTTTGATGACTTATGTCTTGCTTTTTGCCATGCCATCCTGTGTTTCTCTCCATCCCACGTGTGCCCCAACCACAGAGAGCTCGGACTCAACTACCTGTATGGCAGCCTTCCTACATACCTTCTCAATCTGGCCACTCTAACCAGGCTGTGAGTCCACGGCCACCCTGACAGGGAATGCACCTATGTGAGCTATGATCCCATGAACCCATGAGCCGGGGCCTCAATCAACTGCCTGTATGGCAGCCTTCCTACATACCTTCTCAATCTGGCCACTCTAACCAGGCTGTGAGTCCACGGCCACCCTGACAGGGAATGCACCTATGTGAGCTATGATCCCATGAACCCATGAGCTGGGGCCTCAATCAACTGCCTGTATGGCAGCCTTCCTACATACCTTCTCAATCTGGCCACTCTAACCAGGCTGTGAGTCCACGGCCACCCTGACAGGGAATGCACCTATGTGAGCTATGATCCCATGAACCCATGAGCCGGGGCCTCAATCAACTGCCTGTATGGCAGCCTTCCTACATACCTTCTCAATCTGGCCACTCTAACCAGGCTGTGAGTCCACGGCCACCCTGACAGGGAATGCACCTATGTGAGCTATGATCCCATGAACCCATGAGCCGGGGCCTCAATCAACTGCCTGTATGGCAGCCTTCCTACATACCTTCTCAATCTGGCCACTCTAACCAGGCTGTGAGTCCACGGCCACCCTGACAGGGAATGCACCTATGTGAGCTATGATCCCATGAACCCATGAGCCGGGACCTCAATCAACTGCCTTTATGGCAGCATTCCTACATACCTTCTCACCCTGGGCACTCTAACTGATCAGGCTGTGAGTCCACTGCTGCCTAAGCCAAGCCTCCCCTCGCAGTTGCATTTTGAGCTGGCTCCCATGATAACTGCCTGTACGGCAGCGGCGCTTGCCTACAACTACCTCATAGGCACCGTTCCTGCCCTATCTCCGGACCGATCACGAGATGGTTCAATTCAAGCTCAACCCCCTCCCTGCTTCCATATACCCCTGCCTACCCCTACAGGGGCGTCGCTTACAACTACCTGATAGGCAACGTTCCTGCCCTGCCTCCATCGTTAACCACCCTCGACGACATCCGTTGGAATTTCCTCACCGACCTCCCATCCCATCCACTCCCACTCAAATCCCCTTTTCCCCCGTTACCCTTGCATTTGCCGAGCAGGGTACCCTGGGTCTTCGCAAGACCCTGGATCTTCGCAAGACCACTGCTGCTGCTCTTCCCAAGACCATGAGTGATGGCCATCCCATCCACTCCCACTCAAATCCCCTTTTCCCCCGTTACCCTTGCATTTGCCGAGCAGGGTACCCTGGGTCTTCGCAAGACCCTGGATCTTCGCAAGACCACTGCTGCTGCTCTTCCCAAGACCATGAGTGATGGCCATCCCATCCACTCCCACTCAAATCCCCTTTTCCCCCGTTACCCTTGCATTTGCCGAGCAGGGTACCCTGGGTCTTCGCAAGACCCTGGATCTTCGCAAGACCACTGCTGCTGCTCTTCCCAAGACCATGAGTGATGGCCATCCCATCCACTCCCACTCAAATCCCCTTTTCCCCCGTTACCCTTGCATTTGCCGAGCAGGGTACCCTGGGTCTTCGCAAGACCCTGGATCTTCGCAAGACCACTGCTGCTGCTCTTCCCAAGACCATGAGTGATGGCCATCCCATCCACTCCCACTCAAATCCCCTTTTCCCCCGTTACCCTTGCATTGCAGGGGCGTCGCTTACAACTATCTGATAGGCACCGTCCCCGCCCTGCCTCCATCCGTAACCAACCTCGACATCCGTTACAATCTCTTCACAGACCTCCCGACCGGATCCCTCACGCACTGCAGCGGACACTCCAACTGCCTGACCACTCCCTCCAAGTGCGCTGCTGGGGGAAACATGCAGAGATATGCTGTTGACTGCGCTGTCTGCGGCACCACCAACGGCACTGGGTCCTTCTGCTGGGGTGGAGCTGGGGGAGCATGCGTGCCGGAAGTTGCTATCACCCTGGTTCTTTCTTGGGCGCCCCATCCTGTGCGGTGTGCCGGTAAGGAAGGTAGATATTGTGTGAGGCGGCTCCAGTTACTTTTGAGTTGACTCAAAGGGCATAAGCCTCGAGGTGTGCTGGTCTCTCCCTCCTTCCAAGTGCGCCAGTGGGGGAGACATGCAGAGATATGCTGTTGACTGCGCTGTCTGCGGCACCACCAACAGCACTGGATCCTTCTGCTGGGGGGGAGCAGGGGGAGTGTGCATGCCGGATGTTGTTGTTGCCCTTGGTCTTTCTTGAACGCCTTTCAAACCCCCCCTCCCCCCCCCTCCCCCCCCCGTATTTCCCAACAGTGCTCCGCACGTTCTGTCAGCAATTGCCAGCTCATGAGGCGCCTATACAGCGGCGCTCGCCAGTCTAGTCTCTTTCCTGTTCCCCTGGCTGCATTTGCCTTAAACGGAGCTCAGCATCTTCTGTCTCCTGGCTCCCCCCTGTTCTGCATTCCCTCACTCAGTGCGCCAGGTGGCTCTTTGACTGGCAAGCCTTCAAACACTTAGTTCTGTGGCATGTACACTTAGTCCTGGCTCCCCCCTGCGATGCATTCCCTCACTCTGTGATGCAGAGCAGGTGGCTCTGTGACTAGGATGGCATGCCTTCAAGACTTATTTCTGAGGCTTGTACTAAGTAGCCCTCACCAGTCCAGTCACCCGGCTCCCCCCTGCAATGCGCTCCCTGATTCTGTGATGCAGGTGGCTCTGTGACTGGGATGAGGTCGAATGCTAGTGCAGGTAGGCAGGCACACACGCATTGCAGGCAGCAGAACTTACATTCACTTTCCGCATTGTAAGCATTCTATTTGATGGCACGCACATACACTGCAGCAGCACATACACACGCGTTCCATGCTGTAAGCGTTCTATTGGATAGTACGCACTCGCATTTCAGCAGCACAGCACAGGCAGACGTGCTCAGGCAATGCTTTCAGCGCTCTATTCCGTGAAGGCGCACACCGCTAGGGCAGCAAAGTCACCAGCCAGCCATGCTCTCTCTAAAGTCTTCTCTGTGTGTCAGACTCACCACCTGGGCAGCAAACATGCAGTGCACCCTCAAGGTTGTCTCGCCTATTCTAGGGATGAGCAAACTACCCGACCGGGTCGGGTACCCGGTACCCGGACCCGCTTTTAGGCCGGGTCGGGTATCAGAAATCCTGGATAATACCCGGCGGGTCGGGTCCGGGTTACCCAGGCGGGTATTCAATACCCGGTACCCGAAATGCTACCCGACACGTCGGGTAGCGGGTACCCGACCCGAAATCGGGTACCGGTCTACCCGACGGAACCAGCGAGACATTAGTCGCGCTGTTAGAGAAAATTCATCAAGTTTCTAGGTTACGTGAGCTGCTAGGTCACTTTGAGCATTGTAGATTGGGAGGGGTTGGGTTACCTAGATACAGATGCATTCAGAGTGGTTGAATTGGGGGGAATTGGTTGGAAGTCAAACCAATCGAATTTCCCCAATCCAATTTGCAACCCAACCTGAATCCAGCCAACCGCACAGCACCACATTTGTTGGAGTTCCAACCAATTGACTCTGGGGGTCAAAGAATCAAACCCCCAGAAACTGCACACAACCCCATCCCAACTAGAAAACCCAACCAACTCCCCACCAGGCCCCACTCACGACCCACTCACCACACCAGAACTGTTAAAGATTTGGCGCACCTCATACTCCCTCCCGCAGCTCACGTTTTTTGAAGCACTATCTAGGTCGTAGGCTTAGTAGCCCAACAGGGTAGAAAAACGCGGGTAATACTACCCGCTTTTCAAGGAAACCGGGTCGGGTATACCCGGACCCGCCAGGCGGGTATTAAATTACCCGCCCCCCAAATCCCGGGTCCGGGTATTGGTCCTGGGCCTATTACCCGACCCGTACCCGACCCGAAAATACCCGACCCGAAGTCGGGTACAGCAAAACCGGGTCGGGTCGGGTAAATACCCGGTTTTGCTCATGCCTAGCCTATTCTTTGCCCCCCTCCATGTTGCCCCACATTCCTCTCTTCCCCTTTCCCCCATTCACCACCAGCCATGCTCTATCACGTCCTCTCTGGGCGTCACCTCAACTTCACCTCGTGGGCAACCAACCACTGTGCCATGTGCCCTCAAGGGTGTCATGCCTCGTGTCTCCTCCATCCACGCGCCCCCCCTCTTCCCCCTCTTCCCCCTCTTCCCCCTCTTCCCCCTCTCCCCCCTCTTCCCCCTCTTCCCCCTCTTCCCCCTCTTCCCCCTCTTCCCCCTCTTCCCCCTCTTCCCCCTCTTCCCCCTCTTCCCCCCTTCCCCCTCTTCCCCACCTTCCCCCTCTTCCCCCCTTCCCCCTCTTCCCCCCTTCCCCCTCTTCCCCCCTTCCCCCTCTTCCCCCTCTTCCCCCCCTTCCCCCCTTCCCCCCTTCCCCCTCTTCCCCCTCTTCCCCCTCTTTCCCCCCTTCCCCCTTCAGCACCAGTCGTGCTCTCTCTCTCATGTCCTCTCTGGGCGTCACCTACACTACCTGGGCTGGGCAGCCACTTCGCCATGCACCATCAAGGGGGTCACGCCTACTGTGTCACCCCCACCTTTGCTCCTCCATTTACTCTCCCCCCCTTCCCCCTCCCTGCACCAGCCATGCTGGCTCTCAAGGTCTCTCTGGGCGTCAAACTCACCATCTGGGAGGCAGGTGTGCCATGCATGCGCCTAAGTTCCCCACACAATCCCCCCTGTCCCCTCCCACCAGCCATGCTGGCTCTCAAGGCCTCTCTGGGCGTCACCTCTACCACGTGGGCAGCCACTTCGCCATGCACCATCAAGGGGGTCATGCCTACCGTCAGCACTTGGAGCAGCTTGGTCTGTGACTCTGCTGGCAACATCTTGAGCATGTGAGTGCAGATTTGAGGCGCAAGAAAGCTGGCTCCAGTTGGGAGCATGTAAGTGGCAAACCCTTGACGGTGCATTCGCACTACCTTCCCAACTGCAACTAGCTTTAAGCTAAGGTTTGCCGCCTACTCTGAGCACCCAATTTCCCAAGATGCGTCACCTTGGTCTGTGACTCTACTGGCAGCGTCTTGTGCATGTCAGCACCTGGTTGCACGTTTCGAGGTGCGACAAAGTTAGATCTAGTCAGTTGGAAAGGGTGTCACGCCTAGTGTCGCCGGTTGCAGCAGTTAGGTCTGCAGCTCCTGAGTATGTGAGCGTGTGCTTGCAAGTTGTGAGTTGTTACACCATCTGTCTGTTACACCGTCTGCCTGTTACACCATCTGCCTGTTACACCATCTGCCTGTTACACCGTCTGCCTGTTACACCGTCTGCCTGTTACACCGTCTGCCTGTTACACCGTCTACCTGTTACACCACCTGCCTGTTAACACCATCTGCCTGTTAACACCATCTGTCTGTTAAACCATCCATCTGTCTGTTACACCATCTGCCTGTTACACCATGCGCCTGTTACACCATCCGCCTGTTACAACATCTGGCCGTTACACCATCTGCCTGTTACACCATCTGCCCATTGCACCATCCATCCATCCATCCATCCATCCATCCATCCATCCATCCACCCATATGACTGTTACACCATGTGCATATTCGTGTTTGCCGCAGTGACCTCAGCAAGCAAGCGCTCAAAGGCTCGATACATCCTGACATATCCCTACTCACAGCACTGACTCTCATGTAAGTATCTCTTGAAGCGCCTCAAAGGGTGTCCCTTCTCGCAGCGCTCTCCCCTCGTCTGGACATCACTCAAGGCGATGTGCGCATCTGGCACATGTGCGTCTGGCACATGCGCGTCTGGCACATGTGCATCTGGCACACGTGCATCTGGCATACGTGCATCTGCGGCATGTGCATCCGCCATCTTGAGCAGGGGCCTTCGCTACATTATTCTAAACAACGCGTCGGGCTCCTTCTCTTGAGTCGACTCACAAGTCACCTCGTTACAATGTCACACGGCATTTTTTGTAATCAGAGACTTTCGCTACAACCTTTTCAATGACGCACTGGACTCCTTCTCCTCCAACCTCTATAACTTGGCATCAATCAAGGAAATGTGAGCAATTAACCCTTTTCCAGGTGCACTGCACCTTGCTGTGTGCACTTGTGTCTGTTTCGCTTGCCTTTCCTCCCAGCCATTTGGAGCTCATTTTCTCTCTCAGACGTCTGGAGCTCTTTTTGTCTCCCGAGCATTTACGGCTCATTTGTCTCTCAGACATCTGGAGCACATCTCATCTCGACTCAAAAGTCACCTTGCTGCGTGTGTCCTTGCGTAAATTTTTTCGTACGCATTTCTTGAATTCCCTCACAGATGCTTGGGGTTTAACTACTTGAACGGCATGGCAACGCCTCTTGGTATCTGGCGTTAAATTCTGAGTCGACCCTCAAATGCATTGCCCCACGCACAGAAACTTGGGGTTCAACTATTTGTACGGCAACTTACCTTCGTCTCTTGGGAAATTGGCTGCTCTGAGTTCCCTGTAAGTATTCTTCCAAATGAGCCTGCACCTTTCTTTGTTCCTCTAGCCACACACTCTCTTGCATCCTCAACGCATAGACTTGCATCCTCACCACACATCATTACATAGTGCAATCTACATTGCTCTGAACCCCCCCAGATAATCCGTGTGTAATGAGTCGATTTTTGAGTCGACTCAAAAACAGCCGCCGCCCCACCCACCATTCCCATACTGCAATACCCGAAACCCTGGTGCTGTGTGTAATGAGTGGATTTTTGAGTCGACTCAAAAATCTACATTGCTCTGAACCCCCCCAGATAACCTCACTCTCACCCAAATCATTGTAGTCCCAAACCTAAACTCCGAACCTTGCATCAGACTTATTCATGCTGCTTCTATACGCCATTGCTGCAGCGGCATTGAATACAACAAACTTACAGGCACCATTCCAGCCTTCTCTCCCACCCTCAACTCACTCAACATCCGATCCAATTTCCTTACAGATCTGTCCTCTGACTCTCTCACCTCTTGCCTTTTTGCTGCTTCTCTGTGCGATTGCAGAGGCGTTGGATTCAACTACCTCACAGGCACCATCCCAGCTCTCTCTACCACCCTCAACTCACTTGACATCCGAGCCAATTTCCTCACCGACCTGCCGTCTGGCTCTCTCACCTCGTGCCTCGGCCACACCAACTGCCTGGTCTCTCCCTCCAAGTGCGCCACTGGGGGAACCACACAGAGGCCGGCTCCCGACTGCGCTATTTGTGGGACAACTGGTGCCACTGGCACCTTCTGTTGGGGAGAAGGGGGGGGGTGCGGGCCAGATGCTGCTGCTGCCGTTGCTGCAGGGACCGTCAACAACGATTCTCAGCCCACTTTACCTATGCTGTGTTCAGGTATGAAAGCAGTCTGATGTGATGTGATGCGTTTTATCGGCGTTACAGGTGATGTGTTAAAGTAGGCCTAGTTGTCGAGGTACAAACAACATAGTGGTTGGGTTGGGTGGGCTGGTCTTTGCCCATCCCTTTGCTCAAACCTAATGGGCGGGTGGGGGGGAGGCGAGGAGGGGGGGGATCGAGCGTGGGTGGAAGGTGTGTGGGTGGCTTTAGAAGTGGCCTTCAGGCAGGAGGCATTCATAATGAGTGGATGAGCTCGAGGCGAGAGAGAAAACGGCCATGAAGGGTGAAGTGGTGTGGTACCTGGAGGAGGAGATGGCCCGAGATTACATGACCATCCTGGCCACCTTTGTTGCTAGCGAGCGATTGTTCAGCCACAGCAGAAACCTCATCATGTGCCGGAGGCACCGCATGAGCATTTTAGTACGAGTCTACGGGTGCATTTTAGTCTGCATAAGCCTCAAGTCATGGGTGACGTCACACCCTGGGAGCCGCTGTTGGATGTCGCACTCACCCGGCGTGAGGAGTCTATTTTTGAGGCGCCTCAAAAATAGACTCCTCCGCTGTTGGATGCCGCACTCACCCGGTCCTCTGAGGAATTCTGCATTGCGTGGAGAACTGGGAGCTCCAAGGCATACTAGGTGGTCACCACGTGTTTGTGCTCTCTTTCCTTGACTGGTACTGTGTACTTATGCCTGTGTAGAGGGTTTAATGGGGTCTTGAGGAGGATAAGCTTTGAGCAGTAGCAGGTGGTGCCGAGTAGGCTTGACAAACGGGTCGCCCTGACCCAACCCGACCTGACTTTGCTGGTTTGAAGGCAGGTCCGGGTCGAGTCGGGTTGGGTCGGGACAGGGTCGGGTTGAACCTTGAATTTCTCCGACTCAACCCAGCCAAAACAGGTGGGGCAATCTCTGACCCGTTGGTGGGTTGGGTCGACCCGGCCCGACCAAGGTTCAGGGGCGGGTCACTCGACCCGCCCCTTTCTAAGGGCCCCCTACACTGGGATTTTCCTGCTAAGCGCCATCCATTCCATTCACCCGCTCCTAGACATGGTCAACATGCAATGCGATGCGATATCGCATCACATTCTGTCTTCGCGCATCGCTGCGATATGTAAAAAAAAAAAAAACCGAGATCGCATATCGCGTTTTAGGGGGCGATATTTAAAAATATCGCCTAAAAAAAGCGATACATCGCGCGATGCGATGTAATATCGCATCGCATTTAGGGGCCACTGTTTTCCCGCCCTAAAAAAACGTGTTCCCACAGCACAGGGAACGACAATGGCGGCTCTCCTAGGTTCGCGCGGAATTAGGTAAGTGAATTGATGGGAGATAGGAATATCGTGGTCCCTCTCTCATGTGGAGCGTGTTTGAGGGGAAGGGGTTGGATTCTGTAGAGGCAGGGGAGTTTAGTGCGGTTGAAGTGGTGGAAATTGGTTAGAGTTCCAACCAATTGACTTTGGGGGTCGAGAGTTCAGTCCTACCCCCTAATCCCTTCAACCGCACACCACCACATCCCATCCAGAAAACCCACTCGCCCACCGCCCACCACCAACCATAACAATTTGAACCCCCACCGTACTCCCCTCCCTCAACCACACGGCTGACACCTCGTGAATGTCCAAACCTTCCTCTAATGTGCTCCAAGCTCTGCTCCTCACACAAACACCTCCCCCCAAACTGCCGCTTGCCATTTCCGCCCGCCATTTCAGCAAGAGAAACCTAGACTAGCTTACCCTTATCTATTTTCTTTATGTTCAGGGCCCTCGCCCATGTCCCCCCCCCCTTGCTGGCGAAATTCCGCTACGCGATACGCGAAAGTATCGCGCGCGATATCTTTTTATCGCTTATCGCATTTTATGGCACAAAACATAGCGCGATATCGCAAATATCGCTCGATATTATAGCATCGCATCGCCACGATATTCTTAAAAAAAAAATAAAAAAAAATCGCTATCGCAAAATGCAAATATAACGCGATGTGATATATCGCGATGCGATGCGGATTAACCATGTCTACCCGCTCCCCCTTCTTTCATTCCATTCCCCTTCACGAAACACCATCCCATCCCTCCATGTCTCTCTACTCCACTTAGCTAATTCTCCCGTGTGGGAAAGGAAAGCTGCGCAGCTGGATCTCGTACTTTCGAGATCGTATGCGTTCCTTGTGTTTCCTAGCCAATGCAGTCACCTCAGCCTTCCACAGCCTCGAGATTTGTTTTGGATGGTTGAGCTAATTGGGTGTTGGCAAAACTTTGAGTTGGTTGGGTGTTGGCGAAAAATTGAGTTGGTTGGGTGTTGGTGGAATTTTGAGTTGGTTGGGTGTTGGTGGAATTTTGAGTTGAGTTGGTTGTTGGCGAAAATTAGAGCTTAGTTAGGTGCTGGGAAAAAATTGAGCTGGTTTGGGTGTTGGCGAATAACAGTCAAAATGTCTGCGGATCAGGCAGAAATGAAGGTTTGGATCCGGCTACAACAAAGGGCTCAAATCAGGCCGATTTCCCCTTAAATTTTGACCTTCGGATCCCTTTTTTTACCTAAAATTTGCGCAGGTTCCCGTCGAGTCGGCTCACGAATCGAATTTGAGTGGGGTCGATCCGAGCCATCGGGTTGACCTGAGACTAGACATGGGCATGAGCCGAGCCTGGCTCGGCTCGGCTCGTTTGGGGTCAAGCCGAGCCGGCTCGGCTCGCCTCGAGCCGGGTCCTCAGGATCCCCGGCTCGGCTCGGCTCGGCTCGGCTCGTCAGGGGGGCTTGTGTGGGCTGTTAATTAGGGCCACAGGGTAAGGGGTCCCTAGTCTGGGGCATTATCCAGATTGTTTAGCTGATCTTACACAACTATCAGGAGGAGCTGCAGATTTAAAACGGGTTGGCTGAGGTCGATAGACTAGGGCGGCAGGGTAAGGTTAGGGTTGGCAGACAAAATGGGCGCGGGGGGGTTTGTCGATCTGGAATTTGACAGTCGCGAAACCCCCCTTTCCCTAGCTGCGAGCCGGCTGGCTCGAAAACGAGCCGGCTGGCTCGAAAACGAGCCGGCTCGACTCCGGCTCGCCTGATTTCGCGTGCGCGAGCCGAGCCGAGCCGAGCCGGCTCGGGTCGAGCCGAGCCAGCTCGGCTCGAGTTGAGCCGGGTACAAAAACAAGAGGCTCGGCTCGTTTTTAAGGCGAGGCGAGGCGAGGCGAGCAAGGTGTGGCTCGGCTTGTGCCCATGTCTACCCGAGACCCGACAAAAACAGAAATGTCGGATCGGTCCAGACATGAGCAGAAAAAATCGCACCGCATTGCATCGCAATAAATCACGTTTTTGCGATGGCGTTTTTTTTGTTTTTCTTTTCTTTCCTGGAAAATCGCGCGATGCGATTTTTCTTTTAGCGCGCTGTTTTTCTTTTCTTTTTTAATCGCATTAAATCGCGCGCCAGCAATTGCGATATTAACGTGAGTTGCGCTTTTTTTTAAATCGTACGTGATGCTGAATATCATCGCGTCAGGAATTCTCGTCGCATCACCCCCCACCCCTTCATTTCGACTTTCTTCCCTCATACTTGCCTGCTTACGTCCTTCCTAGATCCTAACTAGCCACCTAGTGCGACATTTCCTACTTCTAAGCAGCTAGGTAAGTACATCGACCTGTGATCTAGTTTCCTGAAGCATGGCACTCAAAATCACCATCACCAACACCCAAGCTAACCAACCATTCTTTCCTCATAACCCATCCCAATCCCTCCCAACCCAACCCAAATTTTTGCCAACATCCAACCTCAACTGTTATTTTGCCAATGCTCAAACCACCGCCTCCCAACCCAACCCAAATCTACCAACACCCGAACCGCTCCCTCCCCTCCTGAGCCAACCTAATTTTCCAACATCCCTGTTCTTTCTCCAACAGCCAAATCACTCTCTCCCATACCAAGCCAAGCCTAATTCGCCAACACCCAACCGATCCCCCCCAAACCAACCCTCATTTCCCCAACCCCCAACCTCTTTGCGCACCCAAACCTAATCGATTTCCTGTCAACACCTAATGCAGATCTCGAAGTTTAGGAGCCTGTGTCTCTAGACTAGAAAATATAAGGAACATGGCAAATCACCTGGCGTACCGCCATGGTCGGGCCGGGCCGGGCCAGCCCGCCCTCAACCCGCGGGCCTCAGGCCAGCCTGAGTAATGTTTTTGGACTGTTGGAATGTTTTTCCCCTAAGCCCAAAAATGCGATGCAATTTAATATCGCATCGCACTATTTTTAAAATCATCGCATGCGGTTTTAAATTTCATCGCACTCTAAACGCGATGTGCGATTTACATTTCCTGAAAATTTAAAGCGAGGATCTCAAGAAGTGCAAAACCAAATCCAAAAGGTTTGCTTTCGGGTTGGCGAAATGAGAGAAACAGTAACAGTGGCCCCCAAACACCCTTCACCACACCTCGCAATTTCCGCGACCCCCCGAAACCAAAACCTTTGGGTTTGGTTTTGAGCTTCTTGAGATCCTCGCTTTAAATCGCGCGATGCGATTTTAAAACGCATCGCCTTTTTTATATATATCGCCCCCCATCGCGATGTGATTTAAATCGCAATCGCGTTTTGATAATGTCTACATGACCCGGCGGGTAATAACCTGACTCGAGGAGTCGACCCGACCCAGGCTGGCTGGCCCATTGCTCTAGCCTAATGCCGAGTGTTTGTGTTCCCTAAAACCTGACAAATATTGTGTGCTTATGCTGTTGTGTGATAGCTGCCATGCACTCCTAAGTTGGACTTCACGTTAACGTCGCGTTACCTTTCCGAACGTTTACGTTTTTTATGTTTACGAACGACCTTCTAGTTTTGGGCTAACGCTTACGGCGGTCAACTACGAAAACTTTTGAGGCTGCCCAAATAAGGAAATTATGAGGGAGATACATTCACCTGGTCCGCACGCGCCACGCCCGTGCCCTCCTTCCACTCACCAATCTTCCCCACCTCCATCAAACAAACTCCAACCGACCTCTGTTCACTCACATACGTGC